AGCAGGTCAAAAGCGGTGATTCTTCCCCTCTACTCTGCTCTCGTGAGACCCCACCAGGCATATTACACAGTCCTGGTGTCCTCAACATAAGAAGGACATGGAACTGTTGGAGCAAGCCCAGAGGAGGCCATGAAGTTGCTAAGAGGACTGGAGCATCTCCCCTGTGAGGGAGGACAGGTTGAGGAAGTTGGGGCTGTTCAGCCTGGAGAAGAGAAGACTGTGTGGAGACCTCAGAGCAACTTTTCAATATCTGAAGGGCCTACAAGGGAGCTGGAGAGGGACTCTGTGTTAGGAACTGCAGTGACAGGACAAGGGGGAATGGGTTCAAACTGAAGGAGGGAAAGTCTAGGTTGGATGTGAGAAAAAAAAGGTTTTTACTCTATGGCTTGTGAGACACTGGCACAGGTTGCCCAGGGACGTGGTGGCTGCCCCATCGCTGGTGGTGTTCAAAGCCAGGTTGGATGAAGGCTTGAGCATCCTGATCTAGTGAGAAGGTGTTCTGGCCCAGGGCAGGGGGTTGGGACTAGATGATCTGTAAGGCCCATTCCAATCCTCAGATTCTATGATTCTATGATTCTAAGACTTACATGGTGAAAATTAATTACTTTCAAACAGTGATCAAGAAGTGGAAGGAGACTGATTTCTTTTCATGGCAGTAGGTGTTAGAACTCAGCCACATGCTCTAGAATTACAGCTGGATTATCCATCCCAGGATCTTTGTGAGCCTGGTTTGAATCACATTATAGCCCTGTAATGCAAGTACTCTGGTGAAAGCAAACTCTTGTTGTCATTATCTTGTGCTGCTATTATTACATCTCTGCATTTTGGCTGTGCTGCATCAGCGATGCAGATGCACACGTCGCCACTCACACCCCATACAATTGCACAGGATTACAGCTAAAATTCCTCATCCTACTTATAAAAAGCCCTATAAATCCCAGATAGCTCCTTTTAAATCAGTGGTATTATCCGTCTGTAAATCCAGGGTGTAAGTCAGAGCAAACTCTGGCTCAGATGCTCCTCAGCCACACACTGTCATGGAGTGGGGAGGCTAAATGCAAACCTTGGGTTCTATACACATCAGTTCCCCCCAAAACCCACCCCCATTGCATCACTCCCTTCTCAGCCCCACACCCCAGGACTTCTCAGAGCACCAGTCCAACACTCCTCATGGCAGAACTCCCCGAAACAGAATTAAGAGCTGTCTGTGGCAGGGCTGCCCCCATGCCACGTGCCTAAGTATTGCTCACAGCTGAGTTATTTCTTGCTTCTTATGAGCTTTAACTGGCTTTTATCCTCAGTGAACTCATGAAAGACAAGTATCTAAAGTCAGCAGCATTGAAACGATGAATTGGCACAAGGAGAAAGAGGCCACTTAGGCGTTTCTTACAGCCCATTATCTAGATGGTTGCCAGAGGAGCGGATTTAAAGTCACTGTGCTACACCTGAATGTCGTTTATGGCTCATAAAAGAAAATCTGTGTTTAAGCAACAATAAAGCAGAACTGCACTTTCTATGTAAGAAAAAAATATTAAAAATATCCTTTCTCACAGAGCAGATGTATTTTTATTTGCCCAGTGTCTGCCTCCAAGGCATGTGGAGATGCTTTCAGCCAGAAAGCCTGAGTTAAGCAGGAGGACTCATTCCAGCAAGGATTTATGTTTGATTTTTACTCATTTTTCCACCTAAGCCTTAACACAGTGAATGTGACCTCCTGGCAAAGGCAAGACCTGAACACCCATGTACAACTGTAGATGCCAGAGGAACAAGGGAGATCCCCAGGCACAGGCAGCCACAAAGCCACGGCAGAAAGAAGCAGGGACCCTCTGTAGCCCAGAATCAGAGAACCAGAGAATCATTCAGGCTGGAAAAGACCTTCAAGTGCCACATCCAGTTATTTCCTGAACACCTGGTGGTGACTCCACCACCTCTCTGGGCAGCATATTCCAACGCCAGAGAAACCTTTCCATAAAGAAATTTTTCCTGAATACCCTAAGCTCCAGGATTTGACCAAACAAGGCGACAGCAGCCATCAAATCAATCACTCCAAGAGAGTCACACCTACCTGAAGATGCCTATTTTCACTCACCTGTTATCTGCTGGCTGATAAATTCCCTCATGTCAGACTCCAAGAAGTCCAGATCCACTTTTTTGGTCTCAGTGCAGACACCAGCTGGTGGTGTGTCACACAAAGCCATGAGGAAAACCTTCTAGAACACAGACAAGTTTTTTCCTATTATACCTCTGCCACGGTTTGATTTTTGAGAACCTTCTGCACAAAAACTAAGTCCTGATAACAAATATGCAACAATGATAAACTCCATCCTTCTGTCCCTTCACACTCTTCTGCTCTCCAGCTATATCCCACCCTCTGTCCACTACCACCCTCTCAGAGTCACAGCCACTTTGGGACTATCCTGCAGTGCACATCCCTGGAGAGGACCTTGTTCCTCCTTTCCAAGCCCCAGTGCTGCTGCTGTGGGGGTTTTTGCCTCCCAGCTCCACTTGTCCTCTCAGGGGCCAAAGGGACACAGTGGGTGCTCAGCCCCAGGTGTCCCATTCAAGGATCTGGAAAGGACCCACGTGTGCATGGTGCAGCTGTTGACAGCAAGGGTCCTGACCTTTACCTGCTCTCTGTCTGACCTTGTTTTTTGGAAAGTCACCGTCACAACACCATTCAACTCCCCAAGGAAGAGGCCTGGAGGTTTCCTTGGTCTGGTCTGCGGAGCAGGTCTGCAGGACCTCCTCAACACTCAGCACCACCCCAGGTGGTATCTTCAGTGCTGATGCTGCACTCTGAACACCAAACTGCAGAGACAAAAAAAAATACCTGGGAGTTTCTGCCAATCCAAGCCAGCTACAGCACCACATAGAAACAACACACTGCCCCAGAGGGAACCTGAGCTGAAAGTCCTGCTGCTGCAAACTGAACCACACACTGCAGGGATGCCAGAGCTGTAGCTAGCACCTTTAGTGAGGACACATAGCTGCAGAGATGCTGAGGCATGGGAAGCAATGCCCAACAGAAGCAGGAAATTAGGTTCTCAGCATTAACAAATTTGACCTATCAGCATGAAGGAGCACTTTCCTTGCAGTTCAGCCTTAAGAAAGGCTAACAGGAAGCTCAAATTATCCATTGCTTATAAGAAGCTTCAGCACAAAAAGCTACATTGCATTCCATTGTGATAGCTATGCCAACAGCCCTTCTCTGCAACCAGGAAGGCTTTCTCCTTTGGGATTTCTACCCACTTGGGGATGGGCCAGTGCTTTTATAGCAAGACCAGTACAAGGAGGGGATGGCAGACTCGGCAGCGCTGACAAACCTGTTTCTACAGGATTACCTTTGAGGAGGCAGCAGTGGAACATGTAGAAAGAAACAAGATAGTAATTCCAAAACTGTCTGGCTGTTGGGATCGCAGTGGGATGAGGACATGCCTGGATTTAACAAAAGTGTAGCCTTTGCAGTTAGCACTGTGCTGGAGCAGCAAAACAGACAAGGCAGCGACAGCTGGGAGACATCACTGATTTGGCATTACATACCTTGTCTCGGGATAGAGACAGCCATGACTCGAGGGCTTTGCCAGCTTAAAGCTCCACATCATGCCTCCTGCGGCGGCTGGATCCAGCCCCATACTCACACAGCACGGCATGGCAAATCCAGTGCAAACCATAACAAAGAGAAGAAGAGATAAAAAGGGATTTAATGCTGTCAGGACTGCTAACCCCCCAATTTCATCACAAGCAAAAACCACAGAGGGCTGAACCTGGATTAGTTCAAATATCTGCTCCATCTGCACATTTCCATATTTTTCTTCCACATGTTTCTTTCTAAGCTACAAACACAGCCTCTCATCATGCCCAACAGCTTTCACCTTGTAAATCAATCAGTTTTACCTTCCCCAGCAGCACAGGCTTCCTCAGATCCACTCCTCCAGCCTTCCCCTGCTCCTTTCGCCACTTCCCATGCACACACCAGTGCTGTCTCACATTCCTCCATCTGTGCTTTCTGCCCACTGCTAACAAACATCAGGAAAACACCAACTGACCTGTCTGCTCCTGCTCTAAACGACAGAGGGTGGCCTTGGGATTTTTATTTTTTTTTTTTTTTTTTTCTTTGCTTCTGAAAGGCATCTAGAAGAGAGGAAGAGGAGGAGGATGATGGCAAGTCAAACCACTTGTAGGCACAGATTGATTTTTTCCCTAGGTCTTTATTTTACAAAAATAACTTACAAATAGAGACAACTCTCAGCAGTAAGACCACTCACTCTGTGCAGAATGGTACAGCTCAGTGAAGCACGGGTATAGACA